AGAGCTATAACTATAGAGTTTGTAAAGATGTCTGAAGTTAGTGAATTCCGAGTGTAATAATGATATCTTTTTTCCGGATGTCAGAGTCAAACCCATGTTGCTTTACTTACTTACTTATCTTCACGCACAATCCTGACGGGGTAGCCAGAGAGAACAGATCGCCAAGTGTCACGATCCTTAAATACCTCTTTCGCTTCTTTCAGATTCATTATCTTCTTCATACATGCACGTCTAGGTATCCGAGTACTCTTGACCCTACCCTCTTCGAGCAATTTGCTCACATGGTCTTCGAAAGTTAGTCTCGGTCTACCTCGACACCTTTTAATATTAACTTTCGCGCTATATATTTTCTTCACCATTCGGTCTTCACTCATTCGCTCAACGTGCCCAAACTACCGAAGCACGCCCTTATCAATTTTTGTGATAAGGTCATCTTTCAAACCTGCCATATTGCGAATCTCTTCGTTTCGCTTTCGGTCAGCCATGGTAACGCCGCACATTTTACGAAGAGATCGCATCTCCACTGCATTCAACTTGCTTTTATGCTTCTTCTGGCATACCCAGGTTTCGCTGCCATATAACAAAGTCGGTACCAACACTGCGTTATGTATTGCAAGGCGTGCACTCTTCACTACGCCTTGCCTTTTGACTAACGCAGTCAGGGCACCATTGACTTTGTTCCCGGCAGCGACACGCCTGTCTACATCTAAATCACATCTTCCATCCCGGCTAAAAGCACTCCCCAAGTATACAATTTCATTTACTTGTTCTAGACATTCCTGATTTACCCATATTTCACACTTCTTTCTCTCTTCGTCTCTTTCAAATACCAGAACCTTAGTTTTATTAGCGTTCAAACGGAGACCTTTAATTTCACATTCCTCTTTCATACACGTGACTAATGCCTGCAGTTCTGCCTCTGATGGTGCAATAAGCACTGCATCATCAGCATACAGCAGACAATTTACTTTTATGTCACCCAATTTCACACCCAAACAGCTATCTTTCAGCTTTTGTAAACAGCTGTCGAGATAATAATAATAATAATAATAATTTATTTGCCAGAAATATGGTCGTTACAGACATTATAATTAAAGATAGTACAAGCATATTTCGCCAGTGGCATGCAAATACATATATTTTTTTTTAAATTTACATGATTCTATTATAAAAAAAAAATATGTTTAATTATAATTTTATGATAAATTTAAGATTAAAAACTCTTAATACACATAACATGGATGTCAATAATTAATAAAAAAAAAGTTGAAAAAGTCCTAAATTAAAAATCCATATTATATCAAATAAAAAAAAAATTAAAAAATATTCAAGTATACATGTCAATAGTTATTTATTTTATATACATTTATTTACTCAATTTTACACGAAATGTCTTATAAAATACTTATCATTTTGGTTTATAACAATAAAAATCATCTAGAGTATAAAAACAATTTTGGATGAGATATTGTTTTAGTTTCTTTTGAAAATGTTTTAATAGAAGTTCTCGAATTTCAACAGGAAGTTTATTATATACTTTTATGCACATAATGGGACAATTTTTCTGGAAAAAGGCAGTTTTACATAATCTAATATTTAATCTTGTTACGTCTTTATGTGGGAATCTTTTATCTGTATTATCAACACTCCTCTGAAATAAATGTGGATATTTTTTTACGAAAGTTCCGATTTCATACACGTACATGGAACACAGAGTCATAATTTTTAACTGCTTAAAGAGTGGTCTACAAGAATCTAAAGGTCCACATCCACAGATTGCCCTTATACATTTCTTTTGCATTAGAAATGCTCTTTTAAAAATACTTGAACTGCCCCAGATCAAAAGCCCATACCGTAACACCGACGCTACATATCCATGATATGCTGTGATAGCGGCTTCTTTACTTATTAAGTTACTAAGTCTTCTGAGCGCATAAACGAATTTATTTAACTTGTCACACATTAAATTTATGTGATTTGCCCAACTACAGTGCTGGTCCAAGATAAGGCCGAGGAATTTTATATCAGCAACCTTTTCAATTTCTTTTCTATGACTCATTATTTTCATTGTAGGAATATTTGCGCGGTTTGTACAAAATGAGATATATTTAGTTTTAAGTAGATTCGGACATAAATTATTACTTTCGAGCCAATTTACTATAGATGTGACAGCACTGTTAACTTTGAGTTCATAATCTAAAGGCTTTTCTGTACCTGTTATTATAACTGATATTTCGTCGGCATATAAAGTACAATGTTGATCGATTGCCAGTGGAAGGTCATTAATATACAAAACAAAAAGTAAAGGTCCAAGAATTTTACCCTGTGGCACACCTCTTGTGGTGGGTTGAAAGTTAGAGTTATGTGTGACTCGTTCATTAAATTCATTTATTCTAGCTATTTGAACGCATTGGGTTCTGTTATTTAAATAGGATTTTATCCACTGAAATGCAAGTCCTCTTATGCCATATTTTTTAATTTTACTAAGCAAAACCTTATGATCTACAAAATCGAATGCCTTACTCATATCGAAAAAGACACCAGTAACTTTCATACCTTTGTCAATGTTTTCCGTTATGTGTTGAATTAGTGTGTAAGCAGCTAGTGTTGTTGATTTTTCTTTTTGAAAACCGTTTTGTTCCTCCCGTACTATTTTATATTTCTCTAGGAAACTATTAAGTCTAGTATGCATGGCTTTTTCAAATATTTTAGCTAATATTGGAATAAGAGCAATAGGTCTATAATTATTAACTTCTTTTTTGTCGCCTGCTTTATGGATTGGTTTAATTACAGAGATTTTAAGTTTGTTTGGAAATATTCCGTATTCAAATGATATATTAATAATATGAGAAAGAACTGGAGATATTAAATCAGCACACGACTTTAAGATTTTCCTAGAAATTCCATCATAACCCACCGAATTTTTATCATTTAGACTGTGTATAATTTTTTTAGTTTCTTTAACGGAGCAGGGTTGCAAAAATATACTGTTATTTATAAGATTTAACTTTTTTAATGAAAAAAAAATTATCTTTTTGATTCGTTCTATTTGTCAAATTTGTAAAGAAGCTGTTAAAGATATTTGCGATTTCTTGGGGATCCTGAATCAATTTTTCGTTATTGTAAATCGAATTAATGTCTAAATTTCTCCGTAAATCATTTGAGGACTCTTTGATTAAGTTCCAAGTTGCTTTACACTTATTTTTAGCTTTATTAATAAAATTATTGTTTGCGTTATTTTTGGCTTTAATGATACAAGATTTTAAAATTTTGCTATAAGTCCTGACTTGTACCTTACTACTATTTTTTTTATTTTTAAAAAATAAGCACAGTAATTTTCTTTTTGTGCGACAGGATTTTTTAATTCCTTTTGTAATTCATTTTGTTGTGGAATTGAATTTTTTTATTTTTATTCTTAATGTAGGAAAGCAGAGATCATAAAACATTGTTAAAGTTTCATGAAAGTTATTAAATGCGGAGTTAACATCCGTGTCTTCAATTACATCATTCCATGAGATACTGGAAAGACACTGTCTAAATTTCATAATATATTCTCTGTTATAATCTCTGATAAATATAAAAAATGTGGTTTTGGTTTATGGGTTAAAATTGTTGGCACGAATTCTAACGTTTGTGCTGTGTCATGGTCTGACAAATGTAGCGCATGTGTTTTGCCTACTGCATTTGTTATATTGCTTACAATATGGTCTAAGCACGATGCATTACGAGTAGGGCCTAATATATGTGATTTTAAATTATAATTTGCTAAAAGCCCATTTAATTCTATTGATAATTTATTCTTTACAAGAGAATTAATATTGAAATCACCCGCTATAACAATTTTTTATTTTTCAAGTGGAGTATTTTATTTAATAATACTCGTAATTTATTAAAGAATATAAATGCATTCGAATTTGGTGTTCTATAAATACATATTATAATACAATTCCAATGTGGTATTTCTACACCACAACACTCAAAAGATTTTTCTACTGATAATTCATTACAAAAATGTATAACATTAAAATCATAGTGTTTCTTTACCAGAATACAAACACCGCCACGAGATTCTCTTGATCTACCATAGGAACTAGCTACTCGAAAATCTTTCAAATTGATGTTATGTTCATGTCCTGATTTAATAAAAGTTTCAGTAAAACAAAGTACATTTAAATATATGTTAGACTCAGAAAGTTCATTAATACATATTTCTAACATTAATAATTTGTTGAGAAGTCCAGCAATATTTTGATGAAAAATTATAACTTTATTACTTAATTCATTAAAATTAACGAAAGCAATTAGTATCTTGTTTTAAGTCAGTATCATGTACAGATACGGTGTGTGATATTTGTTTTTTATTAATTTTTTAAAAATAATACGGTATTGTATCCCCTTTTTTATTACATTGTGTTCTTTAAATTGGTTGCTTATGTTTGTTATTTGTTTTTTTGAATATAATGTGTTTTGCATTTTTATAAAATAATAGGGTATAGTACCCGGTTTGTAAACTGTTGGCGAGATTGTTTTCAAACTTTGGGGCTTTAAAAACATATTTGAATAATCTTTTGAGTCTATTAACAAATTGATTTTATAACAAAGTTTGTCAAAATATTGTTTTTTACTTAGTTGTCTATTTGGTAAATATATAAAATTACAATTATTTACATTATTACACAGGGTCTTAATTGTATGATTTAATTTAACTGTATTAAGATAATTGTTATTATTTATGCTTAATAGTATAACATTTAAATTACGCATACTCCTTAAAGCAGATGAAAGTTCAATACTAAATTTTGTGGGATTTGTGTCATTTTCACCAACACACAATACAACATAGTTTGATTCGTTCGGCTGAAGTTTATAACAAGCCTTTAAGATTTCTTCTGCCGTCGCATAAGGCTTAGTAATAGATGAGACATTATATTTGTTATATGTTGATTGTTGTCTTGAAATTATTAAATGTGATGAAAGCCCGACGCATTGTTGACTGCCTATTATGAATATTTTCCTTTGAAATTATTTTTTCGTTCTTTATTCGTTGAAGGTTGGTTTAAAGTATAAATTTTGGTACGGGTATTGTTATCTTGTGATAACATTTGGGACTTAATACATTTATTGTCAATGTTTTGTAAGAATTGTTTTTGAATTTGGCTACAGGTTTGAGATTGTTTACTTTGTATTAAATTATCATTTCTTATCTGTAATTCCCGGAAACTTGAATTAAGGTCATCTAGTGAGTTATCTATAAAATCCTTGCGTAATTGCCTTTTTAGAATTTTTTTCGTTGAGTTATATTTCTTAATGCTCGTATTAGATTCGGTAGCAAGCTTTTTGAGGTTTTCAATAGTTTTTTGCTGATCTTTTATTTTCTTAGTTAAGGTATGTATTTCATAATTTAAGTTATCAATTTCACCGTTTGCACTGTCTAGTTTCTTCTGCAAGTTCTTTATTTCTTCCCTTAATTCGTCTGTATCACTATCATATCCAATCGATAAATCGGGTAAGCTATGCCTTCTAAATTCTGTTCTTTGCGATGTAAAAGAAGAATCGATAGAATCATTTGTCCTGCGTTTACGAATTGTGATATTGTCAATTTCCATTTTTCGTTTTGTTTTTAAAGAAATTAATAATATTTTAAATAAAATTTAAATTTAATGTTTAGGAGAGTAGCTGTTTTAGTTATTCTCATTAACAAATACGAAAAAGTTTCTTTTCCTTACATATTTGGTTTTGGTATTTTATTGGATACGATCTGACGAACCTAAATCTTGTGCCCACAGTCTCGCAATTGAGCTATATAAGTCCTAGGTCAATTGGTGAATTTACGTAATAAATCCTTGTTTATTTTATTTAATAATGTGTGATGTGAGTAGTAGTGCTCTAAATTTATGCCACTTCACTTTTAAATATTTTAACATACCCTATCTTTTTTAGAAACATATTTTCATTTTTTTGCCTTTTTGCCAAATTTTATGAGTTCTAACTTCATGAATAGTTCAAATGGTTTACGTACACAATCTTTTGCCCTGGTTTTATATATAATGCACTAATTTAAGATGACGTCACTATAAATTTTAAAAGTATTCATTACACAAAATTTGTCACTAGTTCCTTCAAGATAACTTAGGCTGTTGAAGTATGTACAGAATGCAGAAAGTTCCAGCGTTTTTGATAAAATCTATTCACTTTTACTATTTTAAATGGAAATAAATTCGCAGAGCAAACGTTGGCGCGGCTACCCACGTTATAAGTTTCTTTCCGTTATGCAGTATGAACAGCCAGGAAGACATACAGTATGAACAGCCAGGAAGACATGACACAACCCTGTTTTACGCCCGTTTGGACGCTAAACATGGGTGACAGGTCATGCCCTACCCGCACACAGGCTTTACAGTCACAATGAAGTAACTGCACAGCCCTTAGCAATCTACCATCCACACCATACCCCGGCAACAGTTCCCAAATTTTCTTCATTACAACCTTATCAAATGCTTTCTCAAGATCCACAAAAGCACAGGAAATCTTCTGGTTAGCAGACAGTAGCTCCTCCGTGATCATGCGGAGAGAAAACATTTTATCCGTGCATCCTCTTCCAGGTCTAAATCCGCATTGTGCCTCCCATAGAAATCTTTCCGATTTCTCTTGCATCCTACGTGTCAAAACCTTCGAGTAAACTTTACTTGCTAAACTGGTCAAGCTGATCGCCCGATAGCACCCGCAGTCAAAATGTGAACCTTTACCTTTATATAAAGGCACAATGACTGCGGATCGCCAATCATCCGGGACATCCCCCGTCCGCCAGCACAAATTGCACAGCAGATGAAAGCTGTCCCAGACGCGAGGCCCACCATACTTGACCATTTCAGCAGTAACTCTGTCTAGTCCCGCAGCCTTACCACATTTCAAACTTCGAATCGCACGTTCAATCTTTTTCATACTGATGACCTCAGTGTCATCGAGGTCCGGGTCTGGCGTACCAGTCATGGCGTCATGCCCGGATCCCTCACTAAGATCATCACACGCATACATTTCTCTATAAAATTCGCTCCATCGCTGCATGACGTCCGATTTTTCTGAGAGGACGTCATTAGTTCTCGAAAGCACTTTGTTCATTCTTAAGGCCGTCGCACCACTTCGGGTCCTTCCAACCTCTTTCCAGAAGGTTTGGAGTTCTCCTTAAAGTTGTGCGACAACCTTTCGTCCGCTTCCATTCTACACCTTTCACGCACTTCCTCAATCAATGCTTTCGTGTGAACTTTCTGCAGCTTATATCTTTCTTTCATCTTCTCTCTCATATCCTTATCATTACTAGAGGCCAAGTAGTCTAACCATGCTTTCTTCTTCTTCTTTACAGCTTCTTTCACTTCATCATTCCACCATGCATCTCTTCTTTTACTACCCCTCTTTTTATTGTTCCACACACTTCTTCCGCTGCACTTACCATTCCATCCCTAAGGTTCTGCCATGTTCTTTCTACACATTCGTTTCTGCCATCGATGTTGTCAAGCTTTTCGGCTACCCTCGCATGATATTTGTCCCTAGTATCCGCTTCCTGAAGCTTCCAGCTTCGGATGCGACAGACCGACTGTGGTTCTGTCGCATCCGTGTCGCATCCATGTTGCTTTTGCTTTTTTAATTAATAATTTTGGTCCGATCTACTCAGAATGAACTAACTGTGTCTTGGAATCTTGCAGTGGTATGCTTGGGTTTAGTTAAATATTTTAAAACTATTGATGTTAAGAAAACGGCAGACTTATGGGGGATTTCCGTTAAAGTTATTTTATCTATAATATATATAATAGCACCTTATATAGCCACTATATTTAATATAAGCGTCGAATCTGGTGTGTTTCCTGATTTAATGAAACATAGTTAAGTCATACCTATGTTTAAATCTGGTAGTACATTAGACCCCGCCAATTTTAGACCAATTTCTGTACTACCAACATTAAGTAAAATTTTTGAAAAAATTATTTTAGATCAGATGTTAAGTTTCTTTAATATTAATAAATTGCTACATAATAATCAATTCGGTTTTACAAGGGGTCGCTCGACAACTGACGCTGGAGTTGAGCTTATTAAACATATTTTTTGTGCATGGGAGAAATCAGAGGATGCTTTGGGTATATTTTGTGACCTTTCCAAGGCCTTCGACTGTGTTCACCATGAGACATTAATCAGGAAGCTACAGTACTATGGTGTCAAGAACACAGCGCTTAAACTTATTATTTCATATTTAAGTAATAGAAAACAGAAGGTTATTATCAATGGTAAAAGTTCTCCCGGGTCACCTGTACTAATGGGTGTACCTCAGGGCTCGATTCTCGGCCCATTCCTGTTTCTGGTGTATATTAATGACTTACCTCACCTTGTAGGGGATAGTCATGATATAGTATTATTTGCTGATGATACTTCCTTGATTTTTAAACTTAAACGTCAATCATTTAAATGTGACGAAGTGAATAATGCTATATCAAAATTAGTGCATTGGTTTAACGTTAATAATCTGCATTTGAACGGAAATAAAACTAATTGTGTTAAATTTACAACAACGAATGTTTAAAATCTGAATACCAAGTTGTTTTTAAATGGGGAGGAATTGAGCCCTGTTGTATCCACTGTTTTTCTTGGCATCACTCTTGACGCAAAGCTCCAGTGGGGCCCCCATATATCCAAATTAGCAAGCAGACTAAGTTCTGTAGCCTATGCTGTAAAAAAGATTAGAGGTCTCACTAGTGTCGAGATAGCTAGATTAGTTTATTTTAGTTATTTTCATAGCATAATGTCTTATGGGATTTTGCTATGGGGAAATGCGGCTGATTCAGAAACTATTTTTGTTTTACAGAAGAGGGCCATTAGAGCTATTTACAATCTAAAACCGAGAGAGTCTCTTAGAGATAAATTTAAAGAAATTAATATATTAACTTTGACCTCTCAGTATATTTACGAAAATTTAATGTATGTTCACAAAAACAAAGATAGTTTTAGTAAAAGAAGTGATATACATTCTGTAAATACTAGGAACAAACACAAGCCAGTGATACCAGTTTCTGGACTCCACAGAGTCAGTAATTCATTCTTGGGGCAATGTATACGCTATTACAACAAGGTCCCGGAAAGTGTACAGGTTCTCTCTATTACCAACTTTAAATGTTTTATTAAGCTGAAACTGTATAAAAAGGGTTATTATAGTATAAATGAATACATGGTTGATAATAACCCCTGGGAATGAGGTGATCGCTTCCAAGCAGTTTCTAAAATAAATTTTGTAAATAGTTCGTAATCATTTATATTGTAAAATTTATTTAAAAAAAAAAGTCCCGCTGGGTTTCTTGCTGGTTCTTCCCAGGACAGAGGGTTTTTTTCGAACCAGTGGTAAAGTACAAAATGACTTTCAATAAGAATTACACATGTAATTCTTATTGAATAAAAAATATTCTATTCTATTCTATTCTATTCTATTCTATTCTGATGCCAGTATGCAACCCGTATATAACCCGTATAATACCCGTATGCATCATCCACCAAAACCAATAGGAATCCGTTTCATTACTACAATATTAACATACATTTTATAAACTAGACTATACTAAAATAAAATGCCTTATTTATCTAAAAAATAAACTAATAAATAGGTTAACTAACCCACGTATTAAATTACTTCAAATAAACAATAATTTAATAAACAAACCTGGTTGTTTTAGTTGTTCCGAAATTTTCTTCTAAGCCATTTCTTTTTTCACAATATCCATATAGTTCGGGTGTTGTAGATTAAATTAAAACTCATATTTACGTACACATTATATTAATTTTTCATCCTCTATTTTACAACGTCTTTACATCTCGTTAACTGACAACAAATGACTAAGTTACGGCAACGCGCTTACAACGCCTATATAACGGTCATCATACGCGTTTACAACCCGTATACTCGCCGGCTCGCACCAGCAAAATATTCTCGCCGACATTTGTTGACGCTCCGTGCATGGCATGCGACGGTGTTGGTCGGTGACGGAACGGTCTAGTGGGAACAGTGTCATACTTTTCAATACAAACAATATTTATTTGCCTGACCGTTCCTAGCACGGTCATGGTACAATACGGTGTAGTGGGAATAGACCTAAAACGTGCCATAACATTTTTTATTTATGTTCAGTGTCAGTACATTACTTTGAAGCCAGTTTGAGACTGTGTTGTAGCCCAACTGGACGTACGTGTAGACATCTTGCCGTGAACCTGCGCTAAATAGGAGGATGGTATCATCTGCAAAACTTATGATCGGCCCTGTAGGAAGAGTGAACATACTCAGTTCATTAATATATGTAAGAAATAAAGTTGGAGAGGGTACACTGCCCTGAGGCGTACCAAAGATAATTGTGCGTTCAACACTGATGAATTTATCCACCTAAACGCACTGAGTACGTCCACTCAAGTAGTCTTCAAAAAGTTGCAGTTGTATACCTCTAATTCCCATACTCTCCATCCTACGTAAAACTATGGGTACAGAAACCGTGTCGAAAGCTTTGGCGAGATCTAGAAATATGCCAAGAACTTTCTGCCCATTGTCCAAGTTTGTAAAGATATAATTAGTAAGGTCATG